TAAACTTATCATAATAAACTTATGATAAGTTTATGATAAACAATAAACTTATGATAAGTTTATGATAAACTTATAATAAAAATTAAACTTATGATAAATAATAAACTTATTATAAACTTATCATAAACAATAAACTTATTATAAACTTACCATAAACAATAAATTTATGATAAACTTATCATAAACAATAAACTTATGATAAACTTATCATAAGTTTATGATAAACTTATGATAAACAATAAACTTATGATAAACAATAAACTTATGGTAAACTTATGATAAACTTATAATAAACAATAAACATATGATAAACTTATGATAAATAATAAATTTATGATAAATAAAAAATAATAAACTTATGATAAACAATAAATTTATGATAAACTTATGATAACCTTATGATAGACTTATGATAAACTTATCATAAGTTTACAATAAACTTATGATAAACAATAAATTTATGATAAACTTATGATAAACTTATAATAAACAATAAACTTATGATAAACAATCAATTTATGATAAACTTATAATAAACAATAAACTTATGATAAACAATAAATTTATGATAAACAAAAAATAATAAACTTATGATAAACAATAAACTTATGATAACCAATAATTTTATGATAAACTTATGATAAACAATAAACTTATGATAGAATTATGATAGACTTATGATAAACGAAAAACTTATGATAAACTTATAATTTATATTATGATAAACTTATGATAAATTATAAACTTATGATAAACAATAAACTTATCATAAACAATAAACTTATCATAAACCCAAAACTTATCATAAATTTATGATAAGTCTATCATAAACTTATGATGAGTCTATCATAAATCCAAAACAAAACAATAAACTTATCATAAACCCTAAACAAAATAAACTTATCATAAACTCTAAACAAAACAATAAACGCAAGAAATAAATGAAGAACTTCTACTTATCATAAACCTTAGAAACTAAGAAAATGGAAAAAAATAGAACAAAAAAAAAAAAGTTAACAAAAAAAAGGAAGAAAAACAAAAAAAAAATCCACATCAACTTATCAAAATTTACTTACATACTTAACATCAACGTATCAAAATTTACTCACATTCTTGAACGTTTCCCTTAAATGATATAATTCTGATTTTCTTTCCTCATCGTCCTCCCCACCCCAAAACGGGGACAGATCCCCATGAACCATGATATCTTTGCAGAAACTTCTCAAGTTTTTCTTTTCTTTTATCTACAAAACATAGAAGAGAAAAAGAAAATTGTCTTTATAAAAGCAAAAAAAAAAGAAAAGAAAAAGAAGAAAAAACAATAAACGAATACCAATTTAGGAGCAATTCGTCTTCTCTTCTCGTTCACTTTGGCATCCAAGTTTTGTCTTTTCCTATGGTTTTAGGGAGGGAAACTAACAAAGAAACAGAAAAAAAACAAGTAAGACTCTCAGCTAATACCAAACCGAGGGGAAAAAAACAGATATTTAAAGAGAAAGAGAGTTTGTTTAATAAAAGAACCGGTTGTCGAAGACAACATATGACATCATCATCGGAAGTTCGTTGAGGAATCTTATATTTTCATAACACAGTTTTAAGTTTAATTATATAAATAGATATTAATTATGAGATAATTACTCTAATTAGATATGAGAATGAATGTTAATCCTTTTATAAAGAGGATATTACATGATAACTGTTAAGAAGCTGCTTCAGCGGTTTAGAGGCATAATATTTGGGTGAATAAAGATCGAGAGGGATTTGAATGAACTTATCATAAGTTTATAATAAACTTATGATAAAAATTAAACTTATGATAAACAATAAACTTATGATAAACTTATGATAAACAGTAAACTTTTGATAAACTTATAATAAACAATAAACTTATGATAAACTTTTGATAAACAGTAAACTTTTGATAAACTTATAATAAACAATAAACTTATGATAAACTTATGATAAACAAAAAATAATAAACTTATGATAAACAATAAACTTATGATAGACGTATGCTAAACTATAAACTTATGATAAACTTATAATTTACATTATGATAAACTTATGATAAACTATAAACTTATGATAAACAATAAACTTATGATCGACTTATGATAAACAATAAACTTATGATAAACTTATCATAAACAATAAACCTATCATAAACTTATCATAAGTAATAAACTTATCATAAACAATAAACTTATGATAAGTTTATGATAAACTTATGATAAGTTTATGATAAACTTATGATATGTTTATCATAAACAAAGCTTATCAAAACAAAACTTATCAAAACAATAAACTTATCATAAACCCAAAACTTATCATAAACTTATGATAAGCTTATTATAAACCCAAAACAAAATAATAAACTTATCATAAACCCAAAACTTATCATAGACTTATGATAAACTTATCATAAACCCAAAACAAAATAATAAACTTATCATAAACCCTAAACAAAATAAACTTATGATAAACCCTAAACAAAACAATAAACACAAGAAATAAACAAAAGAATTAAACGAATAACTTCTACTTATCATAAACCTTTGAAACTTAGAAAATGGAAAAAACTAGAACAAAAAAAAGCAAAAAAAAGTTATCAAAAAAAAAAAAAAAATCCACATCAACTTATCAAAATTTACTCACATACTTAACATCAACTTATCAAAATTTACTTACATTCTTGAACGTTTCCCTTAAATAATCTAATTTTGATTTTTTTTCCTCATCTTCCTCCCCACCCCAAAACGGGGAGGGATCCCCATAAACCATGATTTCTTTGCAGAAACTTCTCAAGTTTTTTTCTTCTTTTATCTACAAAATATAGAAGAGAAAAAAGAAAACTGTCTTTATAAAAGAAAACAATAATAAAAAAAAGATAAACAAATACTAAATTAGGAGCAATTCTTCTTCTCTTCTCGTTGACTTTGGCATCCAGGTTTTGTCTTTTGCTGTGGTTTTAGAGAGAGAAACTAACAAAGAAACCGAAAAAAAACAAGTAAGACTCATCTAACACCAAACCGAGGGGAAAAACAGATATTTAGAGAGAGTTAAAATTTATAATTATACAATTACCCAAAAATTAAATAATTATACATAGATAACCAAATCTTGTATTTTATTTGTTAATTTATTTATATTATAAATTATATAATGTATTCTTTTTTGTTATAGTTGTAATAATTTTTTTAAAATTAAATGATATTATAAAACAAATTTTAAATTTAAAGTTATTTGTATGGTAAGTAATTATAAAATACAAGCCAATAATTTCAATTTTAATGTATAATATTATAGTTAGTTAAGTTGTGATAATTTTGAACAAATAAAGAGAATTAATAAATGTTTAATGTGATACTAATTTCACTTTATACGAGGAATTAATTTTTTAATCTTATAATATGAAAGTTTTTTCTAATTTTATTAATTATTTTGATGTAATATTATAATACTATATTATAATTTATAATTACACAGACATCCAAACAAGAAAACAACGTTTCAATATTCACATTTTTTGAAAATAATGAAACTACATAATGCACTACTCTTAATTTCTTTTAAAAACTAAAATTACACTATTTTTAGAGATTTATAGTAAATTTTTTTAAAACTTTTGGGATGAGACTTGTTGATTCGGTCGATTCTCCGATCCAACATGCCAATCTATCGATCCGACACGATTTTTGGGGTTGATGATCCGGATCGCCAATTCGTTTTTTTAAACCATGTTGTATACAATTCCATATATAATATAGGTGCAGTTGGATATAGAGCTGATGCTCTAAACAATCAAAGTAAAGTGCACCTTCAAATAGTATCGAGAAATGTGGTTTCAATAATGGAAATCTTTGTGATATCCTTAAAATATATTTTCATCTTTAATTATAAAATTATAAGCCTCAAAATAGTGTAGATTGTAGATCGAGCGGATATATGAAAACTTGAAAATCTTGGAAATCGACGGTCCAAAAATATGTTACAAGATGCACTATTTCCAAAACTTGAGCAAATTTTTTTTTCTGTCTATACATCTTGATGATCAATTTGATGAATTTTAGGCACCAAAAAAACTCTTTCAATGAAAATTTTGAGGAGGACTCTAATTTGATTGTTTAGAGCCTCGACTCTATATAAACATTTTCCATATAATATAATCTTATAGGAAATATGCTTAAATTAAGAGATTGTATACAATGAGACCATTTATACAAGGTGGTCCCAACTACTTACAACCATCCCATATATACAATGAGACCATTTATCTTTTTATACACGGTGGTCCCAACTACTTACAACCGTCCCATGTAAAATTTGTAACTTGGATATGTAACAAACTCCCTAGATTTTCTCTTCCTTTGAGCTTGGTCAAGAATAATTGCATCCACCCATTTTTACATCCAATGGTTAAAGATTAATGTGGCCACCTTGTACTTATTCTAAACTTCCCCTTAAATTGAAGGTCTTCTGTTTAACACGTGCAACATGCCTCAAAAGTTTCCAACCCGATCCATCAAAACCGAGACACGAATTGCATGAAACACCTGCGCTCTGTATATCAAAGCTTTACATGTACATATAAAAGATTGCTTCCTATCCTTTTATGTGTTGATCAAGATTTGCTTGTTATCCCTTTTCTCTGTGGCGAGAGCACGACAAAAGATATATATATGAATAGGCAGCGATTAGAGAGACAGTGAGGGGCTTCTTTGCATGGAAATCTAGGGCAAGGGTGTTGCTTCCGGCTTCCCTTGAAAAAGAGAGAAACCATGTCTGCCGTAGTCTGTAGGAAGAGATCCTTTTTCGAAGAGCTTCACTCCCCTTCCCCATCTCTTTCTTTGAAGAGGCTTCGCTGTTCTGGAGGTTCTACTTCTCTGATTCTGTTGTCTGTTCCCTCTCCTCCTTCCCCTCCTCCCCCTCCTCCTTTCCCTCTCTCTCATCTCATGGAGCTTTTCCCCAGTATGGATGAACAGGTACTTCTATCTCTAAAACTCTTTCTTTATAGGTTTTGCCTCTCTGTTTTCTCAATCTCCTTCCTTTCATTATTAGGTATTTTAGGGGATTGTATGATGTACTTCTCGTTTTGAATTATCTGTATCGGTTTATTTTGTCTATTCAGTGCGGTTTTGATGCAATGAATTTATGGATTAATATCACTATGAACTTTGGTATTTGTGTCGGTTTAATTTGTCTGCTAAAGATGTTTTTTTTGCAATACCTTGAAGATTGGTAATCATCATAAATGAGGTGCAGTGGCCCTTTTTTTTTTGTTTTTTGTAGTTCATTCGGTATATGCACCCTTGTACCCAAAAGCTTGATTCATGTTGATTTGTCATGTGATGTATATATATTTTTAACTTTCCTATTTTCTAGATTTTAGGTTTGGAGCTATTTTGAATTTCTAGCTTTATTTAGGGTCTTTTGTGGTTGTAGAGAACTGAGGGGTATAGTTGGAAGATAAATATTAAATAGAGGAAGGATTAGGTTTTAATATTGCTTAGGGTTTCGTAGGAGCAAGTTAGACCTTTTTCTCCTTGAGAATTTGTGTTTTTTTAGCTGTAGAGAATTGAGGGGTATATTTGAAGTTGAATATTAAATGGGAATGTATATTGTGAGACCATTTACCATTGTTACAAAGATGTCACAATCACTCCTAGCCATTAGATGTGAAATTGGATGGCTTGGGGTGTGTTATGAAGTTCGAGAAATTTTTTTTTTTTTTGAACTTTTGAGTCTAGTCAATGACACGCAACCCCCTAATTTATAATTTGATGGATAAAAGTGGTTGTGACCTCCTTGTACTAAAAGTAAATACTCATTGTATATTTTTTCATATTAAATAGATGTAGGGCTAGGATTTAATAATGATTAGAGTTTCTTGAGGAGTAAATTCTGTCTTAGGGTTGTCTTTTTCCATAAATATGCTACTATTGGACCCAAAAAAAAAGAAGAAGAAAAAAATAGATCATTTTGGGTCTTGGGAATAGATGTTTTTGGGGTGGATCTGCAGATCCTGAGAGAGGATATAATCTTTCCATCCTTTATTTTTCTCTCATATTTTTTTGGTTCATTTATTTTTATTCCTCCTCTTCCCTACATCAATTTGTACCATGAATTGATCCAAGAATGTAATTATGATATTTTTATTTATGACTTCATATTGTAATCAGTTCTTTAATTGTTTGTATATTGGCAATGCATAACGTTCCAAATTGATGCTGGATTACTTTGGTTATAGTGAGAAAACAGCTGAACCCTTTTTTCTGATGCAAGATGTTATGCATTGAGTTGCGATTTGAACTATATCTTATACAGTTTAATCCTTCTTGCAAGAAACTATTATAAAGCATGGACATTATCATACCTTTCAGAAATCCAGTTTTACTATTCTGCGAGAACGTTTTTAATGGGATGAAGGTTTACATTTACATTTTTAAATTTTTACATTCTGTGATAAGAGTTGTTTTTTGCTCACTATCAGTGTTTAGATTCCCCATTGTGTTAACTTCGGGAAAAATTTTGGTTACTTTGCTCGCATTTGATTGAATATTTTTTAGTTGGCTTAGCACGATCCTGACTTGGGCTATTTTACATTGGTCAGATTGTACATGCACAATCTTTGTTGCCCACATATGCAAGAATTTTTTTTTCTTTCTCAATCTGAAGTAATATTTTCCACATTGATGGACATGTTTGTTGTTTTTGTTTTTATGGGCATGTGATGTTTGGATAATCATGATAGCACAATGTTCTTGTGAACTACGAATCCATAGGGGGTTTGTCTATCTCTTGGTAGATTAGGTAGCTATTTGGAAAAATCAAATGAATGGAACTTGTTCTACAATTTCCAAGTATCTGATTTTTTGTAGGATATCCCCAAACTCTTTGTTTGCATAATTAGAATCAATATATTTTCATTAACCTAAATATGGAAAGTGGGCTCTTGAGAAACATTGTAAATACAGCTAGGCCTGAACAATAAATGCAAGTCCAATTCTTTCATATAAAATGCTTCTTATAATCCTTCGACAAGAATCATTTTGTTTAATCACTTTTCTTCTTAATTATCAAAAGGAAATCACTTTTGGTCTTAGCAGAAACTGTCAAACAGATTGATGAATACACTATTGGCACTGCTTGAAGTTTGACAATGTAGTTATGAGCATTTGGCAGATAGCATATCTGGTAACTTTTTCAACTATGTACAGGGGTTGTGCTGTGTGGGAAATCTCGCACCTTTAATGAGGATCTCTCCATTTATCTAATATTCTGCATATACGGTGTGGGAGACAGTCTAATGAGGGTCTCTCAAATTTTCTAAACAGCTAATTTGAGATTTGTTCTGGTTGTTTGGAGAAGTTTTTAGGATTCTATGAATGTGATGCCTGTTGTCGGGGTACCTCTATTTTGTTGTTGTGGTGTTTGTTATTATATTTTTCCTTCTTGAATCTTAGGGTTGCGAATATGCTAAAGTCCAATTTGTCATCTAATTGGTGTTTTAGTCTAATGGCCCCGTTCCATTTTGTAAAATAGTTATAAGAATAAGAATTCCACTCCAGAATGACAATATAAAAGAAATTTGTGATTTCAGGAATGGTTTGATGGGAATAAGATATTCTTTTTGTTAAAGAAGCTCTCCTAAAAAGCAATCTTTTTCTCATAAGGATGGTTCTTTTGTCGTATGGTTCTAAAATTGGGCTTGTGTTTTTTCTGGCGTCTTTGTGGAAAGATCATCTTCTATTGTTATTATTTTTGTAGGTCATCTTATATTAGTTCTCAATTGAGTTTGCCTCTTACAATTCTTCTTGCTGATGTTATTGGTCCTACTAACCAATCTGGGTTTGAATCTTTCAGCTTCTTGAGAAAGCTTTACTAGAATCTGGACATGATTTAGATTCTGCCATCAGGAGTTTGAATAACTTATGCTTGGGATCTTGCGAGGGGCAATTGGTTCCCACGGCAACAGAACCTGATGTGAGCACTGCGGCAAATACTAAATTATCTTCTGAAGGTGTGTCTCTGCATGATAGTTTTAGGTTAAAATATAGATGTTATTTATGTTAAAATAGTAACAGTTTGTGCAGCTAAGATATGAATGTCCTTATGGATAAGATGCATCTATAGATGTTGTTTGTGGATGCATTTTTCTTTTTTAAATAAAGCACTACAGTTTTGATTGATCGAAAGCTTCAAGTTTGGGCTGGTAATGAACTGATATTCATGAAGCAGCTATTATTTTTAGTTTAGTTTTTTGTTCTGCATGCACTCCTTTTTCATTTTAACAAAAGAAAAAAATTTGACATCGGATGGTGTTGCCGGTATCGTCATGTGACAAGTGAAAATATGTGCATAAAGGGGGACAAGAAGCAAACATTCAAACTTCATTATGTTACAATCTTTATTTATTTAACCTTTTAAGATAAGTTGCCTTATATATAAGTTGACCTTATATTTATACACTCACACACACATGTAGACAAAATTACCAAAGCCCCCTGAAGTTGGCAGTCTACAGATTGAGTGCTCTATTGGCACGAGCAGCATAGACAGTGAGAAAGAGGAAGAGGAAAAAAAGAGAGAGGGGGGCGGGGAGGGGGGAAGGCAAAAAACCAAGCCCGAAGCCCGAAGCAACCCACAACTCGGGTACTTGAACAAAAAATATCTCCTCCAACATACAAAAACGCGCTGCCCACATGTTGGGAGCTCAATTAAAAAAAAGGGGAGGGATTACTTGTAAAGCTTGTAGCCTATAAGAAATAGACCAACAACTGCGGAAGGCGGTGGGAAAAAGGAGAGGGGGGAAGAGAAGGGGAAGGAGTAAGAGAGAGGTGTCACTTTAGAAAAAGGCGAATGAGATGAACAAGAAGCATCATGTGGGAGATAATGTGAGTTGTGAGCCCTCCATGGAGGTTGAGAGGTCCTAGTGGCCCACAAGATAATATTCTTAGAGTCTCCTTCCACAGTAAAAAAATCTACACCGATAGGGACCGGAAGCAAAGACTTTAGGCTCTCTAGCTTTGCCATTGATGCAACTGAAGAAGAGTTAGTGTGTCTTAGGTGCCTTGAAAAGGAGAGGATGTCCCCTTTATGGCTCGCCAAGCTACCCCTAACCTAAGGGACCTTGTTTTCTGAGGGAGCACCTGTCCATGTTGAGCTTAAAGGAGCCCATTGCTTTTTTTGTTGTTGTTTTTGTTTTTTATTGTGGGGGGGCACCTAGCCATTCAACAGTAAATTGGTTAAACAAAGCTTGAGGCATGAGGCGATGCTCTTCGAAAATCCTGGCATTTCTCTCCTTCCAACCAAAGAAAGCCAAAACTGAAGCTCCCAATTGAAGACCACCTAACTTGGTAAAAGGAGCGGACATTCAAACAATGAGTTGTTGAAACCTTTGTCCCTTGCCAACATCGTATCGCGAGTCAAAGTCCAGGAGAATGCTCGAACATTGTGCGGCACAGGGGCTGACCAGATTCTAGAGAAGTAGGAGATAGGTGGTGGGGAAGGCAAGAGGGTTGCATAAAAGGATGCCACCAAGAAAGTTCTGGTTGGGGCTGGAGACCACAGTAATGGGTCTGTTTCTTCCAGGGGAACAAAGAAGTCTTGGAGGAGGACAAGCAATTGTGCAAGGGCCACGCTCTCTGATTCTGAGGGGGCCCTCCTAAAAGTTGGGGACAAAACTAGATGTCCAGCTTGGGTTTCTGCTGAGATCGCAATCATGGAGTCCTTGCCTCTGGAAATCTCTAGGAGTTTCGAGCAACTAAGTCCTAAAGTTTGATCCCCATCCCCAAATGATTCCAGAGTTCGATTGTCAGTCCTACCAACTTTGAACATAACCAAACTTCTAAAAGCTTGGGCACACTTCGCAATGCAAGGCCAGGTCCTTGAGGTATGATGTTGAAGACATTTTGGTTTCCATCTTCTTCTTCCAAGCAATATTTAGCTATGACCTCTCTCTAAAGCTGGGTGTTGTTCGTTGTTATTCTCATGTGCCACTTGCCAAGCAAGGCCAAGTTGTTTTGTTTAAGCCACCTAATGCTAAAGCGTCCCCTAGGTTAAAGACAACATACCTGGTCCTAGGGTAGGAGGTGGAACTATAGTTGATGTCAACGCCTTTGATTCTGATTTGCTTCAGGAATTGGAATTGTAGAATCGTATGTGCCAGATGATTACTAAAAAAGCCTATTTTAGCTTTTGCTTGGACAAGTTTATTTGAGAAAGTTAGGATGTGTTGTTTGGTAGAATGGTTCAATTTAACATGTAGTTACCCGAAGCGATTCGGAAACTGAATCAGTTTAGGAATCAAAAGCATAGAACCGATTTAGTGAGAAAAGATATGGTGACTTTTGGTCTTATTGAAGGTTATGACTATCATGGAGAAGAATGGAGGAAGATGATTCATATAGCTGACACCACATCATTGGGATAAGTCTTTGACGATGATGATGAATCACGAAATCACCGCCGGCTGGAAAATTCCTGTTTTTGGATTCAACATCCATACAAGAGGTATTGTGGGGGATGAGATTCCTATTTTTAGGAATCAAGATTCGACCAAAATAAAATCAAGATCCCTACATAGATGGAATCGAGATTCCTAGCGCCTTGGAATCGAGTTTCCGACCAAGTTGGAATTGACTAATAGAGAATCGAGATTTCTTCATTTATAGAATCGAGATGGAATTGAGAGGGAAACAACACATGTCTCAATACCATTCATGGGCCGACATGCCATACATATTAGTTTACATTATTTGTATTACATTGTTTCTAATATCTTGGAGTTACAATCTCTCCATTGGATCAATACAATTCATACCTAATGAATTAAGTAAAGAACGTGGTCTACCACCACTTTGGTTTCTATTGGTCATTTGATGCTAAAAAATATGACTACACCATGTAGCTTGAGATTGAGTGTCTAGCTCGAGTAGTTTGATGCCTTTGAAACTTCTAAACATCACTTCTTAGAGAAAAGCAAAAAGAAAAAATAAGTGGGGAGGGGGGAAGTGGTGGAATTCCAATAAATGTAGAAACCAATTTCAACAACTGAAGAATTGAAATTTACGAATTGCGGAATCGAGAATCAATAAATATCGGAAATGAGATTCTTTAAGTATTGGAATGGAAATTCCTAAAATAAGGAATCGAGATTCTAACGGGTTCCGTGAAGATTCCTTGTCGGAATCACCTAATCAGGATTCCGAATTAGAATCGCGACTTTCAGTGAGGGACCCAGGTAACTATGGTCCAACATCAATTGGAAGTGCTTCTCTAATTGAAAAATTCTGAGTATGCCTGCTTTGTGAAATATCTTCTTGCTTACAATGTGGTCTAAATACTTGATTGGACTTTTGAATAAGAAAGCAAAATTACAAGCTTTTGTCATGTAGCATATGCATCGTATGGATTAGAAACTTAGAATGGAGTTTTGTTTAATTCACAGGTCTAGTGAATGGAGACAATGCCCCATCAACTAATGAAGATACCCCAAGTGTCATCCCAAAGGATGGTGCAGCATGGGTGGAGTTGTTTGTGAGGGAGATGATGAATGCTTCTAACGTGGATGATGCAAGAGCTCGTGCTTCAATGCTCTTGAAAGCATTAGAAAAATCTATTGGGTCACATGCTGATGCTGTAGCAGCAGACAACATTCACAAGGTACATACATCATATAGAACCAGGCTATGATAGTAACTATACCTACTATTTTGTTTTTCGTTTTGACAAGATTATTTTGAGTTATGTTGTCCTGGACTTGGGGCTTTTGAGCAGGAGAATTTGTTTCTCAAGGAACATGTGGAAGTGCTCCTTCAAGAGAACAACATTCTGAAGCGAGCAGTAACCATCCAACATGAACGAATAAAGGAATATGATGAGAGATGTAGGGAGATGGAGCACCTCAAACAGATTTTGTCACAGTATCATGAGCAGGTCCGAAATCTTGAGGTGAGGAGCTGAGCACCCAATTGATCCTTCCCCCTTCTATGTCCGAAGTGTTTTTTCTCTCTCTCTCTGTTTTGTGTGTGAAGTATATGTGTGTGTGTGTATTTTTTTGTGTGTGTTGAGTAGTTATTTTTCTTTGATTGGCAGATGAATAACTACACGCTAAAAATCTATCTTCGGCAAGCTCAGCAGAATAGCTCCATTCCGGGCCGTTTCCATCCTGATGTGTTTTAATTTGGTGGTTGGTTTAATGCCTTGATTGAGCATCATGTTACATTTAAAGTATTAAATAAATATTATTTCCATGTATCAATCAGAGCGAATCTGTTTTAAAAGGTTCTGTATACTGCAGACGCATAAATCATTGATGTGAATTTACAAAAATGTCAATTAAGATTTGACCTGCCATTACGTATCGTACAAAGTTCTTAAGCAATATGAAGCACAAATGGCACAGGGAATGTACAACTGTATGCAATGATTCACTCGTTGGGAAGAAGCGATTTAATGGAGCTTGAGGTGTAGCCTTAGCATTGTTCGCAAAATCGGCTGATCTAATTGCTAACTGTCCGGTTAGATACTAGCCGGTTCTAGTTTTGGATGGTTAGGGTGCAACCAGTATTTTTAAAAAAAATTCAAAAAATTCTATATAAATTCTCAAAAACAAGGAATTTGATTGTAATGTATTTTTAAATATTCTTTACATTATGGTGAAGATTAAAAATTGTTTTGGTCATTAATACTCGTTTTTATATTTTTTGATCTTTTTAAAAAAAATTAAAAAATAGCCCTCAGAAAATATAAAATGGGTTGAAATTTATTTTTTTCATTAATTTTCAATTTCATTTGAATGTGTTTTGTTTTAATCATTTTTTATATGGTTTTTATATTTTAGTAGATTTTATTTTGTATTTTTCTTTTTTCAGTACTTTTTAAACCGTTTAGGACTTGTTTGGTTAGGTTGGTTAAATTGCTTTCATGCCCATGTCTGTTTAATCGTTCTGGTTCGATTTTGCGAACACTGGGCCTCAGCGTCTAACTTGGGCGCTCTCTCTCTTAAGCGTGGTTGAGGCTCAACTGAGCACCTGACTTGGAGTTCTCTCTCTCTCGGGCGTGCTTGAGGTGCAACTAAACACTACAAATTGGAAGGTGCCATAAGATTTGATGATGGATTCCAGGGAGATTGTATTTCAGCTTTGTATAATTGCAAATGCCTTTCAAGAGGCATTCTACTAGGCTCTCTCTCACACTAAGATTTCAGATGTCACAAACGGGATGGTGGCATCTGATCTAAAGGTTTGCGTTTTTTTTTTTTGGAAATTCTGATCGAGGTATGGAGATTGCAACTAGAAAGATGGGTTTTGGTGGAGCTTGTATCTAGGATTGAAGAATTAAACCCGGAGAGTTAGGTTTCTTGGATCTTGTATATCCGATTCGAAGTCTGCAAGTGGAAAGAGAATGTTGGGTTTGTTGGATCTTGCAATACAGATTAGAAGATCACCAAGGCCAAGTCTCTAGAATCTGGTCTAATTTTTGAAAGATTTTTTTATTGGATTGTGTACGCAAGAGAGATGGCCATTGTTTTGCGTGGAAGGATCGAATATCTCTTCCACTCACTTTTGTTTTTCCAAGTTGTGGAGATTGCATATGTAAGGACGGTTAAAGATACGGGACTTGCCTCTCACATAGATATATATATATGTATCTTTAACCAAAATCCAAAATTAGGGTTTTAAAAATTTAGGATATCAAAAATTTGAAATTTTAAAAGTTTCAAAGAAATTTGAAAATCCAAAATTAATTTTTAAATATTGAAAATCTAAATTAAGAAATATGTTATTTCTTAGAAAATAAATTAAATTGATAATTTTGAAATTTCAAAAATTTGAAATGAAGTTGTTTCTTATTTTTTATATTGAAATTTTGAAATTAAGAATAAGTTATTTTTTAAAATAACATAATTCTTAGGTATGGATTTTCGAATAAAATATATACCATTCTTATTGTTGGATTTTCAATATCTGAAATTAACTTTGAATTGCAATCATAGGCTTGCATAAATAATCTCCTTATTTTCTTTATTGCTATTTTGTTTCCTTATATATATATATATATATATATATATATATATATA